GTCCAATCCTCCTGGGTTTCGGCACCACTGTAACAACTTTAATAATGGGTGGAGGGAGGACGCCGGGGGCAGGTGTGGAGACGGAGAGCTTTTTTTTTATTTATACACAATGCAAAAAACCACTCGGCTTTTCAGCCCACAGATAAATTAAGACAAGATGCTCGCTGGGGCTTTTCAGTCCTTTCTTTCTTTTGTTCAGTTCAGCTCAGCTCAGCTCAGCTCAGCTCAGCTTAACTTGGCTCGGCGCTCACGCCTTCACGGGTCCCCTTCCCTCTCTGGGTTCTGCCACCTACTGAGGAAAGAGATGACTATAAGTAGGCTGGCAGATACAAGGCACAGGTGAATGTCATCAGCTACCGTCCTGCATTTGACGCTCGGTCACGCCCCCTTCTCCACAGTTATAAACCCTTTAGAGTCGGGACTTTAGGAGGTATTACCACTGTTTTCAGAACTACTGAGCGTTTCATTGTGCATTCTGGTTTGTTTTCTCGTGTACTGCCTGTTTATTCCTCCCCTTAGTTTGGTTATGACTGTGTTTTTCTGGTATTGGACTGTGTTGGAACTGACCTTGGCCTGTTTTTTGACCACGACTTTGGAAATCCCTGATTCAAGTAAAGCCTCTATTGTTTTTACAATCTGCACGCATCTGAATTATTCTGTCCCATTACAGTTGGTGACACAGTAAATTGTAAATTTTGAATAAAACAGGCCGTCAAAATCTATTTAGCTGTAATGTCAGATGTAGGCTGACTATGTTTAATTAGCAGTGAGTAATCAGCTAATAGTTTTATTAGCAGCTAATTGGCAAAAGTCTGATATCTGATCTGTTGCTCTGTTTCATGCCATATTTTTCTTTAGTTTACACATTTCTCAGTTAATGAATGTATTTTGCTGTATTTTGTTTGCTGTCAGATCAAAACCTTGTATCTCCAAAATGGTAACTTTATAGGGGGAGGAAAAAATCTACTTTACTTTTAAAGTCAGTGAAACAAGATTTTTTTCAAAGTAATTTTAGGACATTTCTTTTAGTCTATTTATCATGAAATGTACTCACAATGTGAAGGGCAGCAGGCATTTCCAAACTATGACAAACACCGGAAAACGACAAAAATGTTTTTTCCAACAGCAGCGATTTTTATCTCACACACAATCTCACACCACAACTAGTGCTATCTCTGCAAAACTGATAACTATGCTATAGTGTTGAGAGTGATATAGTGGTGTCTTTCTTTATCTCTTACACCATCTCCTACCACAACTAGTGCTGGTTCTGCCCTGGGGGAAAAAAGACACCACTACATCACTCTCAACTCTACAGTGTAGTTATCAGTTTTGCAGTTTTTGATCTATAGACACAAAGATTTTTAACTGGACATCCAGTACCTTTTACTGTCTAATTTGTAAGACTTAAAACAAATGCTATTTTCATTGATTTTGAGAAAGAACTGTGAAACATATACAGTCAGCTCCATAATTATTGGTACATTCCTAGTATTAACCCAAACGTGGTTAGGGGACCCCAGTGGCAGCGGGACCCCAAGTGGCTGTGTATGTTGCTTATTAGGTAGAGCAAGCCCTTCTTTATTAATGTTTTTATGGCTCAATGTGATCAAAACTTCACACATATCTAGTGTAAAGCCTTCATCATTCAAAAAACCCTCATTTCTTGAATAAAACCATGTGTCACAATTATTGATACCCCTAGAAATTCTTATGAACAAAATGTAACTGGAGAAAGTTTAAAAGAACCAGAGCTGTAGTAAATCTGCTTGAAAATGGACATAAACGTATTTTGCCGTCATGCACAGTGAGGAGGATGGTTAGAAGAGCAAAAATTTCTCCATGGATCATGGTTGGAGATTGACAGAAGAAAGTAGCATTCTGGGGTCACCAAGGCTCCAAAACTATAATTAGACACCACCTCCATGTCAACAAATTATTTGAAAGGTGTTCTAGAAGGAATTATTTTCTTTCATCTAACTACAAATGCAACTGCCTGAAGTGCACTAAATGCTACTGGAACTATGGTCAGATGAGACAAAGCAGGGCTTAATGGTAGAACACACTCAAGGTGGGTTTGGCATAAAAAGAAAGATGGTTTTACATAATAGAAACTCATTGCATTATAGCAAAAATGTCTACAAAGTTATTGTTAAACTGGCACATTAATGCAGGCCTGGCATTTCATAAACTGACCAATTAAAGACATGTACACTCATTAAGTTTCATTGCATAGCTAGTGCTGTCATATGTACTGTTTGTGCAATGTGGATGAAAATTATTCTATTAACATATGCAGAGAACTAAATTGAGTCTAGTTGCTCCCGTACTAGCATGGGTACATTTGGTGAAATTGCTTAGTTGGCTATTTGGCAATGAAATCAATACGTATAAGGCATGCTTTCATTTTTTCTTTTGATCAGTTTTGTCATATGCTGAACCTATGAGGCTTTGTATAGTGTTTTATTAGTTTACACCAGGCATGTCAAACTGGGGATCTTCCAGGCCAAAGTGCTACAGAGATTAGTGCTACCCTCATCTAACGCTCTGAATTCAGTTAATGAAGGCCTTGCTAATTAGCTGTTTAGCTGAATCAAGTGTGTTTAATGAGGCAGTGTCTTGAAGTCTGCAGTTTGTTGGCCTGTGAGGACTGGAACGTGACATGTGGTTTACACCATAGATGGTAAGTGCAAAAAAATGCAAACATGTTGGTCACCCTTGAGTACCACATGAAAAAAAAAACAGAACTGATAAACCCTTCGCCTAAATTAGCATGGCTTTATAAGGGCTTGGTTATTCATAAGAGTGGGGCTTGAGGATGTATATATGCTGCTGATCAGCTATGAAAGGAAACAACTTCTCTGCTCGTTTCTTTTACTGAATTTTATCTGGCTCTCCTGACTGAATTCATCTCTACAACTTTGCGTTAACTCTGGACAGTGAAGTCCCAAATTCCAGCAAACATCTGTGAGTTTGCACTCACTTTTAGTCACCGTCCCACCAAAAGCAGGTCAGTAAAGTGTCTTTGAGTGTTATTCCACGGTAAAAAGTGAAGTAGGGAGAAGTTGATTTGAAGTGTGTTTTGAGGTTTGTAGTATTGCTTTTGTTAATCTAAACTAATATTTTGCTAAACTAAATTTTTTTTTAACCGAATGAACAGTTGAATTGACAGTTGAACTGACAAACCATTTTTTGCAGTATAGTTTGTGTATATTTAGCTATGTGTACATGGTGATGTACATACATAAATCAATAAATGCATAAATCATTAAAAAGCAGATATATCTGTTTAACCTTAGCATCATTCTGTCTTATGACTTATTAATACCACAGCACAGCAGCCGTTCCCAACTCAGCCACTACAACAAGGTGGTTGTGTGATTTACACATGTCTATGTGTTCCAGTACAATTATAACTAAATCATTGGTACAATTTTGGTAACAGATAAGCTGGAACACAGCAATATGTCCACATCTGATTCTCACTATGTAAGTAAGAAAATAGCCCTTGATGCTGCATTAATCTCCCTCTGTAGCCTCCGGACAGCTAACATGGTCCATAATTTCGACCAACTGATTAAAACAGAAAAATCTGCCACGTTTGATTAAAGATTCTTCGTGGATCACATTTAAAGTAATCATCACAAAATGATACATTTCTCTGTTTTGCTTCATCTTCTAAAGAAAGATCGGCCACCACGTTTTCAGGTAAAGGCCTTTCCACCGAGTCTGCTTTTGACCCGGGCCTGACGGGATGATTGACAGGTTGGAAAGACCATTAAAATGAAAATGCAATCTAGTTGAATGCATTTTCAAAGGCATTTTGTCACAGAATGAGCGCAGTAGGTGAGAATTCCTAACTGCCAACAGTAAAGGCACTGCTTCCCATTTTCATTTGACTTTTGCCTTCTTTCTAGCTGGTGTTCTCTTTGATAATGCAATTTAAATTATTAGAGAGTGAAAATGCATATAAGATAAATTACATTTAAATTATAATTTTTGACCAAATTATTGCATAATCACATTAAGCAAAAATATGTTATTCTAGAAATACATTTTAATTTAGATAAACTGCTCATGAAGCATCTAAATCTTTGTGTGAATGAAATATGTCAACACTTGTATACCAAATAGCAATTTAAAATTGCAGTGCTAAATTTGAATTTTCATTTTGAGCTCAGTATTTCACATATGGACGGGAAATTTAAATGCAAACATACAAATACATTGTTACTTTACATATTACATTTTTATTTTAATTTTGATACTGATATGCTTCCATAATTTATCAACTCGTCCACTATGTCTAATTTGTATTTTCATGGGGCCCTTTGCCTGGTGCACAGACCACACACGTTCAAAGGGATTAGCTTGCTCACGGCTCCAAACTATTGAGCACTGCCACCTCTCTGTGGCTCTGATTAGAACTGCACCTGTTCTGACTAGTCAGCCCATGTAAATGTAGGATCAAGGACAAGTCAATTAGTGAGTCAAAGAGTATTATTGGCAATTCAGGGAAAGCTCTGTGGCATAGTTTATATACAGCTCTAGTGGGCCGAGGACCAGGTTTTGTCTGCTCACCGCTGAACTGCAATTACATTTTTATGTAATTGGAAATTCTTTGCAAAAATACAGAATATCACTTTTTCCCTCACACATGATGAAATGTCTTATTACAGATCAGCCATAATAGGTTCACCCTCATAAGCTCCATCCAAAACTGCATACTAGACATATTACATTGTTAAATACATCACTACTGATGATATAATATTTTGACATACTATTTAGTTTTGGACACTGCCATAGAGAACTGTTGGCACATTGTTTTTTAATCTTTATTTGCCTTGTCCCAAAACTTTTGGAACAGTGGGACACTTTGTGGGGCAGTGTGCTTCTTGCAATAACTTGTGATGATCAAGTGTCAATGTTTTGTTTATCAAGCCCACTGATTTCATCCTTCAGAGTGTGGCTTGTCCGTCAAAAAAGACTTGAGCTGTATGAAGATGACCATGTCTGTGGCTACTGTGCTGTTCCTGATGACCATTTCTTTCTCTATAAGGAAGGTAGGTGTGATATTTTTACACAGTAACTAAATTACATCTCTATCACTAAAAAACTGGTAGGAGTTATGGCCAGTTGGTACATTATCAGTTTGTTGATTCAGACGGAATACCAACTAAGTCTGTGTATGTTATAAGCCAATATGCACTGTAAATGTGAAATATTAAAAAATGGAGTATTTTAAAAAAGTACTGGGTATCTAATCCAGTAAACAAACACCTTATTTGTCTGTTACTCTAAATATCTTAAGATACTTGTGTGAATGTGCAGAGGCTGCCCTGAGCACATGTCAAATTCACCATAAAACCATTGGTTTCAAATGTGGTCAGAAATATGTATAATTTTGTTAAAGGAAACTAAATACCTAAATATATACTTGATGAATGTAATTCACTGACTGACAAAATGTTCAAATATAAACAGTCAGCTTAGAGGGAACAGGCCCAGACCTAAGGCATGAAAACAATAGTCCCTGGTTTAAATGCTTGATATTCATTTGTCTTATAAGAGCACTTTGCATTGTGAACATTGACATACGACTATCTTTAATAGAGTTATTGTTTTTTTTTCTTAAAGAAAAAAAAAACACTGACTGGACTTATTAGGGGCACAGGTGGGCTTCACATGTAAAATGGACACCTTCATGCCCAGTTCAGAATTTTCATCTTTTCTCTTTATTATTTGATTATTGAAAAAAACATATACAACTTGTCTAATTACGTTAATAGAAAAATTTAAAATACATAATATAATGTTGCATTTTTCAGTATTCAGTATGTCGACTGTAGTGTGTTATTATAGCCTCCATTCCATTTGGGAAAAGTGCATTCAGTTTTTAAAAGAGATCTGCAGGGATATTTTTCCATACTTCCAAAGGTCAGTCTTAGAAGTTGGTTGCACCCCTTAAAATCCCAAGCTTATTACATGATAAGGCTGGAACCTGGCCATTTGTGTCAGATGTCCAGTACTGGTGTTCTAATGCAAATTTCTTGACAGCTACACATCCTTTCAGACCCATAGTGTTGAACTGTCTTTTCTCAGTGGAAAGATGGACAGAAACACCTGTGGATTTAGTCAGATCTTGTTAAAGTTTCAAAATGTACCATTCACTACCCAGTATGTCTGACTCATAGATGGAAACGAAGCTCCCATATCCCAAAAAAATCCCATATTTAATTCATTGTTTCTGTGGTGTCACAAGAACCAACTCATTGTCATACATGCACCTATTCAGCCCACAGCAGTTTAGCCCCACCCACTGAGCGAAAAACCCCCTGGCAATCGGGGGTCCCATGTTGGCTATCTACTTCATCGTTGGCTGACTGCTAACTCACTCGACATAGTGAACTGGCTACAGCACCTCCCTGAGGCAGACCAGTGCTGTATCTCTAGTTAGTTAAGAATACCAAAGACAGAAGCTTTCCGGTTTGTGGGTGAAGCAGCTAAACAATGATCTTTCCCTGAATTTGTATTTGAGCTTCCATTTTTTTTTTTTTACAGACAGCATAACGCCATAATAAGTTTATTTTTGAGGACCCCCTAATTAACCTCTTTGCACCTTGGCCCCACCCATTCATACTGAAGTTCTAAGGGGTGTTTTAGCTCTGAGTGCTTAATACAGGCACAATGCAGGACAGCCAATGAGAACAGAAGTAAACTTATGAGCATTTTTGGCAAATAAAACCATAAATGTTTTAACCACAGGGGATAAAATAAATAATAATATACAAGAAAAATGTAGCATGAGGCCCTTTAAGAACTGTTTATCTGATGGTGACAGTTTTGGTGGTCTACCAGGTCTTGCTCAGTTGTTACAAGTTCTAATTTCTCTGTTATTTAATAATTTTTTAACTTGAGTTTTGGAAACTCCTATTTTTCACATATTTTACTTTGACTTTTCCCTTTCATATTTTAGTGGACTACTTTATATCTAATCTCCTCAAAAATGTCATATAAAAAATTAATAACAATGTCTGTTTTGACTGGAAATTAAATAAATGAAAGGTGGTCTCTGATTTTTGCACAGTATTTATGTTACTTTAAACTAAGGTGGGCTTACTGAAGTCTTCTCCCCTCACAGTCTAAATGTGTGCAGTTCTGTGTCTGACTATTTTCCTGCAGAGCACTGGTCAGGTTTGGCCCCTGGACATGGCTGAAAACTCTGTGGATGACTCTTATGAAGGCTGCAGGGACGCCATGAATAGATTAGTGATCTCAAAATACATTGAAGATGAAAAAAACAACACTCCTGGTTTTGCAGCTGGTTGGAAAAAAGCACTCAATAAATGTGTCAAACATGGACTCGGTATAAACCAGTCTGCTGCCATATACATGTATACAGCAAATCCTGAAAGTATGAAAAATTGCTCATATACCCAGTTCAACAAAGCTACTCGTAACGGAGCAGCAGACTATCAGTCAGGTGACTTTCAGTTTTACACACTGCATTTCTTTCTGACTGATGCTGTTCAACAACTCAAAAAAAAACAAAGAAGTTGTGTGACCACATATCGCAGAACTAAGGATAAATTTAAAACAGACGTTCTTAATAAAAAAATTCGATTTGGGTCTTTCACTTCCAGCTCTTTGAAAATGAATGTAACTAGATTTGGTGAAGAGTCCTGTTTTCAAATTAAAACATGTTTTGGAGCTGCAATAGAAAAATTCTCAAAGTTCCCAAATGAGAAAGAGGTGCTAATTCCTCCATATGAGACCTTTCTTGTCACCGCCGTTAAAAAAAAAGACAAGAAAAAAGATCTGTGGTGTAATGTGGTCTATGAACTTAAAAGTGCTGGTAAGAAGAGTAACCTTAATTGCAAAAAAATACCCAGTGGATCAGCATTAGTGCCATCCTGTAGTGGATTTGGCTGTTTTATTCATAAGATGATCAGAATTCTTAAGACAAAATGAATCCCTTTTTGATTTGTGAAACGAAGAGGAATCAAAGGAGCCAGGATGTCTGGAGACTATCTAACTAATCAAATTTATGGCTCCCAGAATTCTTTAAGAACTCTCTCTCAACCTCCACACAACTCATCTTCCTACACCCTCCTCAAACATTTACAGCCCTTGTGTGAGAGGAAGACATCTGGCTCAAGGATCAAGATAAAATATACCCCGACCAGATAACGTGGTCTGCAACCAAATGGACCCCTCTCACCAAATTTCCTTTTGGTAAGCACTCTGAGTGCACTCCTACCTTAGGTCATAAATTTCTTTAGGCTCTTCAGAGACTGAATCTTAAAACCCAGCTTAAATATCCTGTTCTTTAGCAAATTGTGTGCCATGCCAATCTTTAATCAAACGCTAAATTGAGTGACTCTCCTCCTAATCGAACTGTGGAAGAATCCCCCTGTGTCTCTGTTAAAATATCAGTGTGTAACTCAAACTCATATTTCTCCATGCTGAATAGTCAGATGTGAATTCATTTCCTACACTCTGATGGCTATTTGATGATTTTAAACTGTAACCCAGTTTCTTTCATTGAAATTATTTTGACAGTTTACAGCTCTTTTTCATTTAATCAGTTTTAAATCTCATTAGGATAGAAAGTTAGATATATTCCTGTGAGTCATGTTTGAACCTCATATTTGCTTTATTCTTTTGTAATCATGTTAATTTCTTTTCCTACTTGAAGTAGAACTTTGTAAGTAACTTGTGTGACTTTTCTTATGAAAAATGCTAAACTTTGCACATAATGGAGGTTCTGCCATAAATATCCCCAGGAAATATTAATGGACTCAGTATTTCTTTTATTCTATACTTTGTTACTTCTTTTTCATTTAAGCATTGTTTAGAAATGTTATAGTGTGATTAATTTTGGAATCTTATGTAACGAAGGTTCGATACTAGAGTACTTTCAGATAGAATAATCTGTAAGCTTAATAGTTTTCTAATATTTACTATTGAAACAGTGACAATATTTATACATGAAAGTGCCTATAATGCTCTTTTACTTAATGCTATGCAACCACGCTCAGAAATCTGCGTATGTGAAGTTATTTTATGAAAATTTGAGCAGAAACCCAGATAAAGAATTGCATATTCAGTAAATAAAGCGCAAAACCCATTTTCTCCACCTTAGCTCTGCTCACAAGAAGTGTGGTCATATAACCAGGATCTGTCCTGGTGAGAGAAATGGAGAGATGTAACCACCAAGAAAGAACAAAATCTGCAGATTTTAGTTTTAGTTGAACAGCCTAACTGAGCTGCATTTGTTTTCAACTTGCGTCGATTCATTCAGGGTTTGATTGGCCAATGATAGGTCATTGCGAAATCTACAGCATAGTTTAAGAATCACAGACAGAAGTAAAGCAGTGCTGAATGTAAGCCATTTACAGAAGTTTGTCTCCGCTGCCCGGTGTGAAACTGGGGCCTGACGTTACCAATCAGTGCTGAAGAATTGAAGAGTTGAAGAATTGATTTAGTCTCGGCTCTGTGTTACCCTGTCCCCCTTTTAATGTAAAATAAGGTCAGTCGTTACGCCAGAATTTATATTCCATTCTGTGTACTGCTCAAACACCATAAAATAGCTATTTCAGCTATGTTCATCTGGTGAATCGCATGTCTCTAGTTTCTGTCTGCATACCTATTACTCTATCATTCAGTGCCCATATAACGTGTTATTAATAAATGACCCTGTATTAAAGTTATTACTTGTTTGGTTGTGTGTGTAATTATCACAATCCGATCAATCAGTCACCGGCTACAGGAACCCTAACCTGAGATGAACCCAAAAGTAAGTTGTGTTTATGGTGTAAGTGGGAAATAGCTGAATTAAGGGGCGTCCCCCACGACATCCTTAATTTGTAAATGTTTTGCTGTTTACTGTTCTGATGGTTACTTAAGAAACATCAGTAAAGAGGTCATGCAGATGTAGCACACATCCCTCAAAGAAGAGTTCTTACAGTATGTAAGTCTCCTGTTCAGTGATCAGTTCTGATCTATTTCTGTTTGGTTTTAAAGAACGCTGCTCTGTTGTACTATCACAAATACTGATACTGTAAAATCACTTTCCTGAATGTTTTCGTCAATGAAAAGTTTAAGCAGTCATCGCCCGACACACAAATTTCATACCTCCTAAACATGTAACAGGAAACACAAGTTACATGTTATTAAACAGTATATTCTCCAGTCCAGTCAGTGTGGGACAAATCAGTCTCACTTCACAACAGTGAGTGATTAAACAAAAAGCCAGAAGAAGAGGTCAGATGAGGGGAGGTGGTCAAGGAAAGAAGAAGAAGATGACGAGCAAGATGATGTATCAACCTTTTTTATAATCACAACATAACAATGAAAGAAGCTGGACGAAGGGTTCAGTCAAATCTGATCTGCTTTCATAATCAGAATGATCAGAGAGAAAAGCAGGTCATTCACATCACTGTAGAAAGGGCGTTCTTTCTTATGCTGAATGTGCTGAGGGACAATAAATCCAAATGTTCTTTATGTTCTTTAAGAATATATTTTTATGTAAATATATTATTTCCATAGAATGTTTGCTTTGATTTGTTTAATCACCCACCATAACGATTTTATGATGTCTTTTTAACTGATTGTAGAAGTGTCTATTTAATAATCAGTAGTGTTTATGGATTTGATATATTTTTCTATGTTTTGAAAGATATTATTTCATTTAAGATGTTTTTGCCAGAAAAAAGATGCATTTTAGTGAATTTAGTTGGAGATTTATGTTTAAGGTTTTAAAAAAAGCAAGACAGGATTTGAGAAAGTGTGTTTAATGATTGTAAAAAATACTGTATAATAGTGAGATACAGATTACTGGTCATAATACAATACATAATACAAAAACATAACACAAAAACTATAATAGTTTCACAGTGTACACAGTCCCATTTCACACATAAGAAAGGAAAAAACAGAGAGGAAAGTAATTAAAACAACTTTAAAGAGCAATGCAGTCTGCAAGTATCAACATACAGACCTTTTAATGTCACCTTTACACAGTTTAAAGTGGATTAACTGGCTTAGAGTTCATGAAGGTTTAAACTTTTTGTCTTATAAACATGTAACCACAGCACATATAACTATATGGCAGTGGTTAATGCAGATACCAGTCTGTAAGCAGCCTTGTAATGCTAATTTCCACTAGTGCCCTTATGCTGCAATGTTATGCTAGTGCCTAGCTAGTTTGCAGTCACTTATCCTCACTGGGTTTAATGCTACTTATGACATTTCTAGCTTTGAGTGAATCATTCAGTGAATACTTAAATTTACAGCTTAACTCTAAATATAATCAGAGGAGGTTGTCAGCCTGTTTTTACAGGTCTGTATTAGAACTGAAACTCTTCTTGATGAACATATCAGTAAGTAAACTTTATTTCTAATTAAATCTGTCAAAAATAAAAAGTTTTAAATTTGTTTAAGGTTCACTGGCTTACGAGCTTGCTCCGCAATCTGTTGACTAAAAAATCACTATATGTTTTGTTCAGCCTATATCAGTTTTGAACTAAAAAAATTGCATAGCGATAAAACATTTCTTTTCTTTCTTTTCTAACCCTAAACAAACAAGGATTGTTTCATTTAAACACTTAAAGCTTAACCATTAATAATTAGTCCAGGCAGAGCCGGTCCTGATCTCACTGGAGCTCTAAGCAAAATTCTGTGTAGGGGTCCTCCTACATGACCCTCCTACATGACCCATGAGTCATGTAAACCTTTTGCAGTTGCCACACAGTCACACTTTACACCAAAGTGCTCCCACTACAGTCCTCCCTCCTTTTAAAAGTAAGTAGACCTATACAGAACAGACTGAGGTACAAATAAGCAATCTTTATTGAACAGAATATTTTCTATATAATCTTGAATAAAAGCTAATATTAACATAATGCAAGAAACATAACATAATAAGACATAATTAATAATATTTTTCAGGGGCGCCATTAGACCCCATTTACTGGGGCACGTGCCCAGTAAAATGTCAGTCGCGGCTATAAAAGGTCAGTAATATAGCCATGAAGCTTTCTGTTTTATCCTGGATTGCTGAGCAGAACTACAGGACAGGCCACACGGATTCAACACAGGCACTACATTTCCCATAATGCCCCAACATCTCTGCAAAAGCTCTTTGCTTAGAACCAGTTTCTTTCAGTGTTTTGCCTGGAGTAACGGACATCTGTAAATATTGAAAAGAAAGTGACCCACGCAGCAGACGAGGTGGTGATAGCTCATATCTATGTTTTGGCCAGACACTTCTAACTGTATAACCTAGCAAAAATACATGTAAGACCACTAAAGCAAAGGCATTAATTAAATGAGAAAAAGCATCAGTTACGTTTGCCTGGCTTTATTTACGCTAGCTAGTAAAAGGGCCATTGACAATACAAGCTTGCAAAATGAGCGCCACATGTAGCCAATATAAAAGTAAACTGCTCTGTTTATCCAGCTTGCATGAACTGATGATACAAAGACAAAATCACAGAAACACATTTAGTTTTATGTTGCAGAGGAATTATTTCACATGCATATGTGACAATAGTATTAAAATGAAATGTAAACAATTAAGACAATAAATAAATCTCTTCTCATGAAGTGAGAGAGCAGTCAGAACATGGAGAAGGAGGAATACAGAACAGTTACCCAGCTAGCAAAATATACTAGGCCCTCCTCCGGGCCAGTTCCTGCCTGCTGGTAAAAAGTAATTGGCCCAGGGCTGTTTTGGATGACTGCCCAGATGCAACAGCCGACTTCATCCCAAATTGACCCAGCATAGCTTGGGTCAGATTCGATTCTGGTTATTTAAGTGTTTCACGGTCATTATTACTTATGCAAAAAATAATCATTATTTGTTTCATAGTTACTTTTAATAATTTTTTACTTTTTATAGTTACTGTTATTTTTACTATAGTTAAACATTGATAGAATCCAAACCCCAATGAACCAGGGAACTAGGC